GGCTATTCAAAATCAAATACAAATTCACTATAGTTGTAGACTAACTCTGTAACTCTGCACAATCAATGAACCAACATCATCGCCTAGGCCTATACGTTCTCTCCCAGACTCATGGATAGAACGTTTGGTTCACAGGTAAGGTAAACAGTCCATTCAGTATGCATAATACAGAGTCCACACTCAAAGGTGATTACTAGAATGTCTTTAATTTTGGATTATAAACTGGGTGGTTCGAGCCCTGAATGCTGATTGGCTGACAGCTGTGGTATATCAGACTGTATAGCATGGGTATGACAAAACATTTATTTTTACTGATCTAGTTACGTTGGTAACCAGTTTATAATAGCAATAAGGCACCTCGGGGGTTTGTGGTATAAGGCCAATATACCACGGCTAAGGGCTGTGTCCAGACACTCCGTGTTGCGTCGTGCTTAAGAATTGCCCTTAGCCGTGGTATATTGGCCATATACCACACCTTCTCGGGCCTTATTGCTTAAGTGTAGGCTAGCTAGACCAATTATGTACCAAAGACATCTTAAATATTATTTAGTTTTTGTTTTTTTGCCGTGCATAATATGTGGTAGGCTATTAGGCTATGTATTGTATAATGGCACAATCATTATTTTAATTCAGGGGGGGAGTTTCGGGCTTGGGCTCATATATATGCATATGCATAAGCTCTAATATGTGTATGGGTGTTTTGTATTAATCATCACCTTAGAAAGCGCTGTCCATTTCGTTGTTAGGCAACATCCACAACTTCTTTCTTCAAATTGATCGATCGCAGTGTGGTGAGTTTTAAAAGCATGATACTGTTTTGATGATAAGTGTTTGATGTGATTTTTGATTGCATTTGATGTCCACTGGCATACTCTTATGTTCAGCTTATAACTGTTTTCTTTGTGTTTCTGTCATCTGGTGGTCAAACCAAGAGTGTTAAAGCAGTCTGTCTGGTCTCTCTCTCTCTCTCTCTCTCGCTCTCTCTCTCTCTCTCTCTCTCTCTCTCTCGCTCTCTCTCACTCTCACTCTCACTCTCTCCAATTTCAGGGCTTTATTGTTATGGGAAACTCCCTCTCCAGTTATGTCACCTCTCCCAGCTCTTACTGACACCTACCCATGAGCCCCCTCTCTTTCCATTTACTGTAACCAGCATATTCACCCACTGAGCACCGACCGACACCGGACGTCCATGGACGTTGAAATTTGGTCAGTCCACCCTGGCCTTGATGTTATCGTCCACAGACGAACTGGACTGGACCAAATCTGAACTTATCAAGACTTGTGTTTCACAAGTTTGGATAGTACAGTACAGTGAGTCGAGGACAGTCCAATACAATACAGTAGTACAGTAAAGAAAAGTAGAGTATAGTACAGTAGAGTATATTGTACTGTACTGAACTATACTCTGCTTTACTGAACTCCACTGTACTCTACTGTGCTCTGCTGTACTGCACGGTACTCTACTGTGCTCTGCTGTACTGCACGGTACTCTACTGTGCTCTGCTGTACTGCACGGTACTCTACTGTGCTCTGCTGTACTGCACGGTACTCTACTGTGCTCTGCTGTACTGCACGGTACTCTACCCTGCTCTGCTGTACAGCACGGTACTCTACTGTGCTCTGCTGTACTGCACGGTACTCTACTGTGCTCTGCTGTACTGCACGGTACTCTACTGTGCTCTGCTGTACTGCACGGTACTCTACTGTGCTCTGCTGTACTGCACGGTACTCTACTGTGCTCTGCTGTACTGCACGGTACTCTACTGTGCTCTGCTGTGCTACGCTGTGATGTCCAAACTTGTGAAATATGAGGAGAATGACATTCATAATTATGCATTTCTGTGTAGTACAAATTAGGGACCCATGATGTCATTCCGTTACGGATGTAAATCCACTTCACTTACTGTAGTAGTTCAATAACCAAAATAGATTTTTTCAAACTCAAGGTCCCATGTCATAGCTGACACCCCATTCTTTCTGCAGACATCTTTGAACTTTAATTCAGAGCAAATATTTAACAACGTGGTCGAGATTTTACGGTAATTCTGTTATCAAAGTTTGCATCAGCACAGTTCTTCCACTAAATTCGTTTTTTGTAAAAATAAGAAATATAGCATAGCTAGAGAAAATATATAGTGAAGTTCAGGAATATTTTTTGGAATGTAGTATAATCAGGGTTACCAGTAGCCCTGCTTGAAATGGGCTAGGCTACTCAAAAGTGAGGACAGAGATACATGCTAGATAGAATCAGACACATCCTTACTCAGGCCTCTGCCTTTTCCACACATTCTATAGCTACCCTTCTCCTCTGTTTTATTTCTTTGGGTAACAACTCTTGTTACTTGTGAGTTACACTAGCCTACACTAGCCTACCAACAGCTAGCCTACCTGTGACAAATGGAGAAACATTTGGTCACCGTAGTTGTAGAACATAGAAATTTACATTTACATTTGAGTCATTTAGCAGACGCTCTTATCCAGAGCGACTTACAGTTAGTGAGTGCAGACATTTATTTTCTTCCCCCCAATACTGGTCCCCCGTGGGAATCGAACCCACAACCCTGGCGTTGCAAGCACCATGCTCTACCAGCTGAGCTACACGGAAATGCCTTAATGCAGACACTGTAACATGCTAAGTACTGTGTTAACAAAGTACTTTAGACCTATAGGCTCAACTCGGCTATGATATTAATGGGAACTTAGTTTGAAGTGTTGCCGTGACTTCCAAACCATGGGTGGTTAAATGTCAGTGGAATTTGAATATATAGTTATTATTCTGCTCTTGCTATGCCTCATGTCACGTTAAATGTCTCCGTTCACATTAACTGTTCCGTTATATTCACTCTCAATAAAACAGTGCTAATGAGTTACCTATTTAAAAATTCCTCTCTGCTAAAATATTTGCATAATGCATTGTTTGCGCTCCACATTTGGGTTTTGCGAGACACTAGCGACTGCGGTTTAAATGAAGTGCCTTTCTCCTTACTTTGTTCTGTTTTCTCTATTTTGTTCGGCTTTAAGAGGGGTAGAGTGGTAGCGGTTTGGAAGGAGGAAGATGGGGCCGCTGTAGCTTGGGTATCTCTGTCCTTGTTTCAGGGGAGGGGATCTTATGATATTTTTTCCCATTGACAAATGTAGGCCTACATGTTGATTGGTTGTTAGTATTCTATTCTGTTCTGCAAGGCCTGTTTATTCAGAGGCAACGCACCAATATTCAACCTTCATTTAACCAGTATTTTAATTTAACCCGTTTCTGAGAACCCATGGTCGACATCTGAGTCATTAGCAACAACAGCCTGATATGGCCTTTTCGGTTGAGAAAAGCATTGGAGAGTTGGTGGTTGAGACATACTTGCTGTGGCTTTGAGAAAGAGGGTTTAAGTGTTGTAACCTGGTCTAAATCGGCTTTCTGAAGAAAATGGTTAGCCGTAAGTTTCCTGGGCTGAAAAAGTACTCAAACAAACTAGGCTAATGCCCCACCGGCTATTGTTTGACTCAGTCCTGGCCAAGGCCCCGGCATGGCTACTGTTTGGTTAGTCTACTGTCCTCACGTCTGCTTTGTCATACCCTTTCTTCAGTCTCTCTTTGTCCTGGTCAATGGTGTGATAAATATCAGTCTTTTGTGAAGGAGTGCTTGGAAGAGTTGTAGTTGGGGAGCCAAGAAAAGAGAAGAAGGTTTCGTTTTCTGTTGAGGATTTTCTGAGCAAGGCTATGCCACACGTTCACGCCCTCTTTTTCAGAGATCTATCCCCCCAAAACAGTAAGAGATTTAATTCTAACATTGCTTTGACACCCCACTCTGTCTGTCGGGCGCCTGCCTGCCCGCCACATTAAGTTCCAAGGAATGTTCTTCTACGCTAAATTAAAAAGAGAGAGAGGGGGAAAAAGCCAGCTGAACACGAAAAACGAACCTAATGGAATTTAAAGCTAATCTAAATATGCTAATCTTAACACGCTTCATAAACAGCCAATAGTACCCTCTGCCTTCCTTCTCTCTCTCTCTCTCTCTCTCTCTCTCTCTCTCTCTCTCTCTCTCTCTCTCTCTCTCTCTCTCTCTCTCTCTCTCTCTCTCTCTCTCAGCAGTTGTGCAGAGTGGAATGCCATAGCCAAGAGGGGTCCGGCAGTAATGACGGGCTCGTGGTGGATTAATGTGGAGTTATTTATTTACAATTGAGTGCCTCATTTTTAGCCAGGCCTGGTCTCTGTCTCCTGGCGGAGTTTGGGACCTGCAGTCCGAGACATTCTATTAGTTATATTAGCGCCCTCCACCACTCCACGCCAACGTGCCCAGACCACTGCCGAAAGGCCTCACACTGAATTCTGGGAAGTTGTTTCCCATCCTCTTTACCTGGCCCTCTTAGCTAATTACTCTGCTGCTTGCATTCTGCCGGTAATTGGGTTTGTTCTGTTCCCCTCCCACCTACGCTGTGCTGTATGCCTGTTTAGAGCCCATCTCTCTCTTTTTTCATTCTCCTCCTTCTATTCCCCTGTTTTTATCATCCTCCAAAAAGCCATCCAATTAATATGCTAATGAGATAATACATATTTATGGTGCTTTTAAATTATGCAGAAAGCTTTCAGAGCCCGGTGTGAAACGAGTCGCTCGCAGAACTTCAAAGCCTTGCATCGCTAACGAGGCAGGGCCTGATTTACATACTGCTTTAATCAGCTGAATACTGATTATACTTCATTATGAGAGAGAGAGAGAGAGACTCTTGTCCAGTAGTCGTGACAATCCTGGCACGCACAGGAGACTGGGAGAAAGAGAGGGAGACAGTTGGAAAGAAAAGAGTGAGTGAGAGCTGTTAGTCTAAACCCTGTTGGCTTTTGTGGAGTACTGACACTGTGTCTCAGTGTTGTGCAGCGGTCTGTGTGTGGCTGTAGTTGTACTGGACTCTGCTCGCTGACCAGTGGAGAGGGGCAGTGTGCCGACCGGACAGCCTGACGGAGGGTCTGTCCGGTGGAACCAAGCCTATTTGCCGCCGCTAGCTTTTGCAACCATGCTGGAAAATAAAGGGGCACCAGAAGTGGGTGAGTCGTGGGGTCCGATGTAGTGTGAGTGAGAGAGATCATCAAGGACCAAGTCAAAAAGGGGGAAAAATGGCTTTTATGGATGTAAACGGATGATCCAGGGTCTCTTTTATTTGCCATTTGCTTGGTTGATGATGTTGATTATCACTGTATTTAAAGGGGCTTTCTAATAAGTTGGAAAATGTAGGCGCACACAAATAAATTTATGAGCACAATGAAAAATATTTGAGGTATTAAAGCTAGAATCCTTAATTATTTATCCTAAATAAAAAATTCCAGGTCGCACAGCTAAATATTTAGGCGCATATGTGAGTAAAATGGTGGCACTGTAGAGCCCTGTTACTGTGTGTGTAGCCTTTTAGAAAACATATGATCATGCTCTGTTGAAAGAAAAGGAGTGGGAGGTGTAATATATGGAGAAGACATCCGATCTTTATAAGATGTGGGCTTTAGGGGCTGTTTTGGGATGGGATGGCGGAGCATTGCTTTTAGAGGGTCAATGACCGTAGAGTAAAATTCTCTCTGTCTGCCTCTTCCAGATTCTAAAATGAGTAATGCGTCAGAAACTAGTAAATGTGCAATGGAGAGTCAGAGTGGGGACGGAAACAGAGGTGAGTTACCTGCTGTGACCTGCTGCTGCTTTGCTCTGCCTGTCTGTACCTGGGGCGCGTTCAGGAGGCACCAACTGTTTAAAACTCTTTCAACTGGTCACAAACGGATAATGAAAAGGACCCTGGTCATTAGAACTTTAAGTTCAGGTAATGGTCTTCTGTTTGAAAACCTTTGGTCCTTTTTGTTGCCCTCTGAACACTCGCCGGGGTCTGCACTCTGCACACTGCCATGCCTGTCCCACTGTGTGTGTGTGGTGTTGAGAAACCTAATGGCGTGAGAGAGGTTCAGTGAATTGTTGTGCTGTAGTTAGAGGCTATGTCAGTGTGTGTATTACATGTGTTGATTTGTGGGTGAAACTGTGAGAGAGTTTTTTTTGTTTTTTTTCCGTCTGATGACTTGATTGCTTTTCTGTTCTCAGAAATCCAAACCAATGGACTGGACTTTCAGAGGCAGGCGGTGCAGTCTACAAGCGCAATCACCAACGCACACACACAGGCTCTCCTCCAACAGGTAACACTCATACCGAAACACACACAGGCTCTCCTCCAACAGGTAACACTCATACCGAAACACACACAGGCTCTCCTCCAACAGGTAACACTCATACCGAAACACACACAGGCTCTCCTCCAACAGGTAACACTCATACCGAAACACACACAGGCTCTCCTCCAACAGGTAACACTCATACCGAAACACACACAGGCTCTCCTCCAACAGGTAACACTCATACCGAAACACACACAGGCTCTCCTCCAACAGGTAACACTCATACCGAAACACACACAGGCTCTCCTCCAACAGGTAACATTCATACCGAAACACACACAGGTTTGCTGCTTTCACCAGAAGAGTGTGTCTGGGTTTGACTGTTGTATTTCAACTGATCTTATTTAGTAAAATGTGGGTGTATTTGTGGCCCGTGCCCAGGCTGGTAGAGGTGTAGTCAAAATGAGGAGTGAGGTTGGGACTGAGGCATGCCAACAGAACAGACACACACACACACACACACACACACACACACAGGAACAGTACATTTAAATGAGCTAGGCACTCTCGGTATCGGCTAGGAACAAGGCAGATTAATCAACCCTGTATGCTAATTAGCTGCTCTGCGGTTACTCGGAAACAGATGGCGGAGAATATGCAAATCAATGCAGAATTCAGTTTTATTTTTTAAATTAACTTCTTCACTCACCCCCTCACTTCTTCCTTCCCTCTCTCCTTCCTCTCTATGTGGGCTGCAGTACATTTCAAACTCCCTCCTGCTTTTCTCATGTAGATCATTTTCTGTTAAGACAATACCTTTAATAGGCTACCTAGTATTGAAACCCTGTGTTTGTGGGTATCTGTCTGTGGGAGGGGGTTTTGTCTTGGTGTGTAGATGGTTTTCCTCTTCTTCTACACTCAGAGGTTGAAAAGTCAAGTATTGATCTTGCTCTTTCTCTAATCAAGAATCTTACAACTAGGTGTTTGGTTTCTGTGTACAATAAGTAGCAGTCAACATCATTATTTATTTAAAAACAGACCGACATGGTGTACAGAGTACAGACGACTCCCGATAAATGCAACGTCTCAAGAATGGACTAAACTGCAACATGCAGTTGTGAAGAATGCAGCTGAACTGGTTCTGAGCTGAAATTGCACTCCAACAGAGTTTACACTTATCAGGAGTTGACTGTACCATGTGTCTGTTTCTATATGACAAGTCTCTGGGAAGGTTATCCTATATACGATTATCCTATATAAGGTTATCCTATGTGCTTCTAGTCCAAGTCAGAAGACTCGGGTGCAATTCCGACCTCCGTCCAGCAGGGCGTGCTGCCTCAGGCCCAGCTCATGCTGGCTGGGGGACAGATAGCTGGAGTAAGTGGCATGCTGTCTGCCTGCCTGCCTGCCTGTCGGTTCGTCTGTCTGTCTGTAATGTGATGGAGCTCTATGGTCTCCTCTCCCTCATCTGCACTGATCTGAAAGAACAGCAAATGCCCAGTAGGCATCGTACACCATGTTGCTTTCACTGTTCTTAGATCAGGGCAGATAAAGAGAAGACTATTTGAGACTATTGAGATACACCCACAGAGAGGGTGGGGTTATGTCCAAATACTATTTTCCTTGTTTCCTCTCCTTAGTGACCAGTGATTCATTTAAAGATTGGATGGGAATTGATCTACCTACCATATGCATTCCATCAATTCCTGCTATGATCAGTGTGGATGGGAGGAACTGTTTTAAGAGTATTGGGATGTAACTAGTGTGTTCTTGTGCATGCAGATCATGCCAACTCCACCGACACACATTTCCTTGATACCATCTTTGGGTTTGTGTGTGTGCGTGTGTGAGCCCAGGCATCATGCTCATCTGTGATCATTCTGTCACTGTCACATTGCCAGCATACCTTAACATGTGATCCAGTCATGTGACCTGATGGTCAGACAGCCAGTGGGGCTCCTGGATGCGCTTCACAGCAAAGTCCTCCTCTCTCCATCCGTTGGCCCCTGGGCACTCCGTCACTGCAAAGTCATCTTCTGTCCAAAAGCATGAGTCCTCCTCTCTCCATCCGTTGGCCCCTGGGCACTCCGTCACTGCATCACATGTACTGCTAGATTTTGTATTCATTTGAAACTTGAAAATCCTTTGACCTTTGAAAAGAATAGTAAGGATGAACTACTGTTTCTCACCCCACTCTCTCTCTTTATTTCTCACCCCGCTCGCTTTGATTGGGGGGACCCCACTCTCCGCTCTTTATTCTCACCCCACTCTCCTCGTTATTCTCACAAACGCTCGCGCGCGGAACCTCACCCCCGGCGCGCGGTAGGGCACCCCACGCGCTGCTCGGAGGGCACCCCACGCGCGCGCTTAGGGCACCCCACCTTATGGCGCACCCCACCGCGGCGTTCTACTCTTACACCCACTCTCTCTCTTTATTTCTCACCCACGCTCCACCACCTCATCTTACTTCTCACCCAGCTCCTCATTTCTCACCCCACTCTCTCTCTTTATTTCTCACCCCACTCTCTCTCGTTATTTCTCACCCCACTCTCTCTCTTTATTTCTCACCCCACTCTCTCTTTATTTCTCACCCCACTCTCTTTCTTTACTTCTCACACCACTCTCTCTCTTTATTTCTCACCCCGCTCTCTCTCTTTATTTCTCACACCGCTCTCTTTATTTCTCACACCACTCTCTACCCTCTCTCCACAATATCTGTAATCTCTCCCTTTCTATCTCCCTCTTTCTCTCCCCCCTCCTTCCCTCTCTCCCCTCTCTCTCTTACCTCCTCTTCTCCTCTCCCCCTCTCCCCCCTCCTCTCTCTAGTTGACCCTGTCTCCAGCCCAGCAGCAGATGTTGTTGCAGCAGGCCCAGGCCCAGCTCCTAGCAGCAGCCATGCAGCAGTCAGCCAGCCAGCAGAGCAGCACCACGGGGGCCAGCATCTCTGCCTCTGCAGCCACCCCTATCACACAGCTGCCCCTGTCCCAGCCCATCCAGATCACCTCTGTAAGAGACGCGCGCACACACACGAGAACCCGCATTTGCGCAAACACACACACACACACACACACACACACACACACCACATCCATCACTAGGGCTAGACAGAATCTGCAGGGGGCAGAGTATCCTGCTACCTCTAGAATGGGTTGTGAAATAAATAAAAACTGTGGAATGATGTCAAACCCAATACTGCCACAGTATATAACAACCACAGTGTCATCATTAATTGAATATGCAGGAACCATCGAGTTGTGGAGGTAATGTTAACATCGTTCCCCCTCAGATTCCCTCTGGTTCTACACATCTTCCAGGCCAGCTAAGCCAGCTGGGATACCCATATGAGATGGCGACCTTCAGCAGTTACCTACCTGTAGTACACCTTTAAATCACTGTTACGTGAATGACTGGACATTTATAATGTAGCTGTAGTGGTACATCTGTATAACACTGTAGTAGTGTATCTGTAGTATGAAGGAGTGTATCTGTAGTATGAAGGAGTGTATCTGTAGTATGAAGGAGTGTACCTGTAGTATGAAGGAGTGTACCTGTAGTATGAAGGAGTGTACCTGTATTATGAAGGAGTGTACCTGTAGTATGAAGGAGTGTACCTGTAGTATGAAGGAGTGTACCTGTAGTATGAAGGAGTGTATCTGTAGTATGAATGTGTGTATCTGTAGTATGAAGGAGTGTACCTGTAGTATGAAGATAGAATGAAGACCTCTAGTAGCTGTTTGTGTGAGATGAACAACAACAGCATGAGTGTGTGTATGACTGTAAGTGATTGTGTGTATGACTGTAAGTGATTGTGTGTATGACTGTAAGTGATTGTGTGTATGACTGTAAGTGATTGTGTGTATGGCTGTAAGTGATTGTGTATACCTGTAGTAATGTGTGCTCCTCTCTCCTGGTGTGTGTTTGAGGACTTTCAGCAGTTACAGCAGCTGCAGCAGCAGAACCTGACCATGCCCCAGTTTGTCCTGGTTCAGCCTGGCAACCACATCGCCACCCAGCTGCAGCCTGGCCAGTACATCATCTCACAGTCGCCGCAGGGCCAGCAGAGTATGTCCTGCACACACGAACACAGGCGCGCGCACACATATCCTCTCACCCTCCCTTCATACCCCCTAAATGTTCTCCATTATTCCCTCAACAGGTCTCCTGCAAGGCCAGAGTCTTCTAACTCAACTACCTCAAAGCCAAGCCAACCTCCTGCAGACTCATCCAAGCATCACGCTCGCCACACAGGTCAGACACTACAACTACCATGTTTCAAACCTTTCAAGTTTAAACCATGTTTAGTTAGTCATTTCCTTTCAGCCCTGACCCCATGCTGACCCCATCTCCCGTCCTGTAGCCAGCGACTCCGACCCGCACGACAGCAGCCACGCCCATCCAGCCTCTGTCCCACAGCCAGACCTCGCCCCCTAAACACCTGGCCACGCCCAGTCTGGAGGAGCCCAGTGACCTGGAGGAGCTGGAACAGTTCGCCAAGACCTTCAAACAGAGACGCATCAAACTGGGTTTCACACAGGTGGGTGTGTGTGTGGTTGGGGTTGTCAAGGAGCTGTAGGAAGGTGTGTGTTTGTATGATAACAGCAGAGCTCTCCCTTACCCTCTCTCTGTCTCCCCCAGGGGGATGTTGGCATGGCCATGGGCAAGCTGTACGGTAACGACTTCAGCCAGACCACCATCTCCCGCTTCGAGGCCTTGAACCTGAGCTTTAAGAACATGTGCAAGCTGAAGCCACTGCTGGAGAAGTGGCTCAACGATGCAGGTTTGTCCCTGAGCTGACCGCCAGCTGTGTGTGTGTGTGTGTGTGTGTGTGTGTGTGTGTGTGTGTGTGTGTGTGTGTGTGGATTCTGTACTGTAGTGTGTACTTTAGTGTACCTGGTCTTTACCTCTGTCCCTGTCCTTTGTCGCGGTGCTGTTTATGCAGAGAACCTGTCGTCTGACCAGGCCCTGTCCAGCCCCAGTGCCCTGGGCTCCCCCGGCCTGGGTATGGAGGGGCTGAACCGCCGACGCAAGAAGAGGACCAGCATCGAGACCAACATCCGCTTGGCCTTAGAAAAGAGATTTCTGGAGGTGAGCGACATTTCATATTCTAGATTAGCTCTCACTTTTCTTTACTGACTTACCTCATCAACCAGCAAGGAACTGCCCCATACTGAAAGTAACTGCCCCATACTGAAAGGGAATCCCTGGTGTTTTGCCCTCTTCAAGCAGAACCAAAAACCTACCTCTGAGGAGATCACCATGATCGCCGACCAGCTCAACATGGAGAAAGAGGTGATCCGGGTTTGGTTCTGTAACCGCCGGCAGAAAGAGAAGAGGATCAACCCCCCCAGTGGTGGATACAGCAACACAGGGACAGGCAGCAGCCCCATCAAAACCATCTTCACCCCCACTATCCCCCTGGTATGGACAACACACTGGCATGTACCACACACACTTGCAGTTGCACGCATGGACACACACACACACACAAGCAAAGTGTTTTTTTCTATTCCGTGTTCAACCCCTCTCCTTCTCCTTCCCTGGCGCAGGTATCCAGTACGGCCAGCCTTGTGACTAGTAACACACCGACCACACTGACTGTAAAGCCAGTGATGCCTCTCAACAGCAGCAGCCTGTCTGGCTTGACCTTCACAGGTACACAGGGGAAGGGGAGGGACAGGATCATATTTAACAGAAAGAAAAAACAAGATGTCTCAAGTTAGGAATCAGGCAATATTCTCTTCCCATTTCCCACCTTCTCGTCCTCAAAAACTAAACACCAGCCTCCCGTTCTGTCCCAGGCACGACCATAGGAGCGACCACAAACACGACATCCGTCATCTCCATGGCACCCATGGTTACTGCGGTGACCAGCTCCCCGTCGCTAAACCCCTCCCCCACGGCCCTCCAGGCCACGGAGGCGGAGACGGGCGGAACCCAGGAGCACACGGTGGTCACGCAGGCACCGTCGTCCCTAGCGACCGCTCTGGGGACGGGTCAGGTGATGGTGGCTGGACTGGGGCTGCCGGTCGCCCTGCAAGGTGCTGCCCAGTTACCCACCAGCGCTAGTTTCGCCGCCATGGCCGGCCTTAACCAAGGACTTATGGCATCCTCGCAGTGAGTAGGGAGGGGAGGGGGTATTGGAGCAGGGTCTGTTCACAGCACACATTACATTTACATTTTAGTCATTTAGCAGACACTCTTATCCAGAGCGACTTACAGTTAGTGAGTGCATACATTTTCATACTGGCCCCCCGTGGGAAACGAACCCACAACCCTGGCGTTGCAAGCGCCATGCTCTACCAACTGAGCTACACGGGGCCTACATGAAACTACATGAGGGCTGTCCTCATGCTATATCTGGAATACAGAATAATATAATGTAATATAATGTTTCAATAGTATTTTTGAATAGTCAAAACGTTTTGAATAATCGTAGTAGTAATAGTACCATTGGTCTGATCATCACAATCTCAGGGATTGAAGGAGGAATCAGGATGATTTCTTACACTTCTCTCACTGAATTCAGTTTAATCTCTACTGCTTTCTTACTCTGTGTTGTCTCTGTGTGTAGGGGGGCCTTGCTGAGCTTAGGTCCAGGGGGGCTGGGAGGGGCTCTGAACCCTACCATGTTGAGCAACAGCACCCTGGCCACCATCCAAGGTCTGTGGAGTGGCAAGTACACCTGTTTAATTACTCTGCAATCACACATTTACATACATACTCTGTTTTCATATTATACTGATTGAAAATATAAACGCAACATGCAACAATTTCAAAGATTTTACTGAGTTACAGTTCATATAAGGAAATCAGTCAATTGAAATAAATAAAGTAGGCCCTAATCTATGGATTTCACATGACTGGGCCTGGGAGGGCATAGGCCCACCCACTTGGGAACCATGCCCACCCATTGGGGAGCCAGGGCTCAGCCAATCAGAATGAGTTTTTCCCCACAAAAGGGCTTTATTACAGACAAAGATAGTCCTCAGCAACTTGATCCCGCAGGTAAAGAAGCTGGATGTGGAGGGCTGGTGTGGTTACACGTGGTCTGCGGCTGTGAGGCCGGTTGGAAGTACTGCCAAATTCTCTAAAACAACATTGGAGGCAGCTTATGGTAGAGAAATGAATATTAAATTATCTGGCAACAGCTCTGGTGGACATTCCTGCAGTCAGCATGCCAATTGCACGCTCCCTCAAAACATGAGACATATGTGGCATTGTGTTGTGTGACAAAACTGCACATTTTAGTGGCCTTTTATTGTCTGTAATGATCATGCTGTTCAATCATAATAATGGCCGGAACGGTGCAAATGGAATGGTATCAAACACCTGGAAACCATGTGTTTGATGTATTTGATACCATTCCACTGATTCCGCTCCAGTCATGACCACGAGCCCGTCCTCCCCACCAACCTCCTGTGCTGTAGAACTAGTCTTTACCTGACACTAGTGCACCTGTCCTTCTGGTCTTCACCACACCTCACACCATTGTGTACAAGCCGTAATGAGAACTCCTCACAGCTCTATCAGCTAGCTAGCTACATTACCCCTTCATGTCCATCCATAGTTAGCTGTAACTGTCCTCCAACTGAGGAAGTCTAGATATCTAGGTAACCCCCCTCTGTCCCTCCTCTCCTCCCCCTGTAGCTCTAGCATCAGGCGGCACTCTCCCCATCACCTCGCTGGACGGGAGCGGTAACCTGCTGTTCACCAACACCTCCGCCGGCAGCACCCCCAACCTGATGCAACCCCTCTTCCTGAACCCGCAGAACCTTTCCCTGCTCACCAACCCTGTCAGCCTGGTGTCGGCCGGAGCCGCTGGGGGAGGGGCCCTGCAGGTCTCAGCCGACCACCAGGTCACCACGGCGACTGTCCCAGTTCCCTCCTCCACCATCACCACTGCCTCCAAGGCCCAGTGAAGCTGAAGGCCTCAAATGGCACCCTATACCCTATTTAGTGCACTACTCTTGGTTAAATGTAGTGTACGATATGTCTGGCTCTGGCCATATTAGGACACTATATGGGGGAATAGGGCTGTTGTTTGGGATTTGGCCTTAGGCTAATGACCCACCTCTTCCTCCTCTTCCTTCTCTCTGTCATCTATTATTTAATTATTTTGCTGCCACCAAAAATAAACCCTCTGAAGCGGGTTGGAATTTATTTTTAAAACGTTTTTCATTCTCTCTTTTCCCTTGTACTCCAAAAATGATGTGCGACTCACCGGATGTTTTTGTCGTTGGACATGGCGGGTCACACGGGAGGACTGGGGCGGCCATTTTCTGAGGCAGGATCGTCTTGAACTCTATGGTCTGTGCTCCTTGTGTGACCACTGACCCACATCTGGGGAGAGAAAATAATGGAGGGACCACCTAGCTTTCCCTTTCTACTCCGTCACCTTTTTCACAGGTAGAGATCTTCCTCTTCCCTGTTCAGAACTTCTTCTGAAATACTTCTAACCAAAAATGTTTGATTTTACTTTTTTTTTTTTTCTAACAAAAATGATTTACTACTAAGTTCACCATCTATATCATCATTAAAAGGGGGGTTTGTGCATATCCCCTGTCTAGGTTGAGTTTATTTAGTGTCAGAAGCTCTGTTGGACAGGCCTCAGCACGAATCATATCAAAGTTTTATTTTAGAGGCGTTCTCATTTTAGTTTGTTGTCTCTTGTTTTTATGTGAGTGGACATTTTCAGAACTTTGTACGTCTAACATTAAGTTAAACTTTAACTCCTATATATATATATATATAATTTGTTTTATCGTGGTTATAAGGCTTTAAAAACCTAGTAATAATAAGTGGCTGATATAACGGTTATCATTGCTTTAAGGAACAGGGTTGGCTGCGTGGTCTCTCTCTGGTCCTCTCTGTCTAGTAACACTGAGTTTGACATTTCGCAGCAGCAGCTCAGTGGCCATGGAGCATTTGTAAATGGTAGTCTAGGTGCGGACCATAGACACTGATACAAGAAATGATAACGCTTAGAGCTTTAACCGGGTACATACGGACCCATGTCTGTGGGGTGTCGGGGTTGGGGGTCATGGCGGGGGGTTCAGGGTTCACAGTTCAGGAGTCAGGCAGTATAGGGGCTAAGTGGTTTCCTTGTGACCTTTACAGCTCAGGCAAATACAGACGCCTCAGTTAGCTGTATGATACATGGAGTTCTGTGACTGAGTGTTCTCTGACGGTCTGTCTGTATGGTTGCCATGCCAACTGGATGACGTTGGTGTGCGGTAGATGGGATCGTTGTGTGTTTTTGCGCAGATATTTTTTAATGCCATTATATCTACTTGTGCACAGTATCCGCACCAGTGAACTGCAGTCTGCCTGTTTTGAAAGAGTTAAACATTCTGTCACGTTTTTTAATTTTTATGGTCCTTTATTTCTGCAGTCTTTTGACTGGCTTTCTTCAAGATATACCAAAAATATTTGTTAAAACTAGTGCTGTTTATTGTCAGTGTAGCTTAGCCTAGTCCTAATATTTATGAGTACTCTCTCTCTCTCTCTCTCTCTCTCTCTCTCTCTCTCTCTCTCTCTCTCTCTCTCTCTCTCTCTCTCTCTCTCTGTCTCTCTGTCTCTCTCTCTCTCTCTCTCTCTCTCTCCACAACAGGAGATGAAAATGCAATATGTTGATGATCACGTTCCAAAGACAAACTTATTTTTAAATTTGACTATGGCTCTCCCTGCTCAGCTTTAAAGTAGCAGGGCAAATAACCAAAAAGAAAGGTATGGGAAGACGGGAGGTAAGGGACAGTGTCCCCCTGTATAAAGTGAATATATTTGAGTGGTGTTTAGGTTTGAATGGTAGTGGTTATATGATATCAATGGGTGCTTGTCCTCAAGGCTCAGTCCCGTTTCTCTACATGATAATATGACAGACTGTGTCCTGATCCTTTCTAGACTGATATATCTGCTTTGGCAGCAGTTTGGACTGTAGTCAGGCTTTCAATAGTCAGGTAGGGGCTGTCCATTTTAGTTGTTCTACTAATCCTCAGCCATGAAATAAAAAGCTTGAACCAAAGTCGTTTTCTCCCTAGCTGCTGTGCCTGTGTGAGCCAGCAGGTTGCTGTTCACATTATCACTATCCTACACAATACTACTACTGACAAGTCTTCTCCTGTTATACCCACCTATGTGCATCCCCCACCTCTAACCCGCTTCTAAGGAACAAGGATATTTTTGCTTTAATGACCAGCTGCTTTAACTTATAATGGAGGCAAACGTTTTGAGAGACCTGCGTTTTTTTCTTCTAGCTCTGTGACCACATCCTGTTAGCAGGTCTTGGGTCCTGTGGTTGAAGCCTTCTCTCCTTCCTCTCAACGCCCAACTAGCTTTACTATGGGGGCTCATCCACTGGCAGCACCAGTAAAGACGTTTCGGACCTGCCAAGATCCTGACCTGTACCCAAGCTGCATAGTCTCTGTGCTGCCCTGTTTCCCTAACAACAACGCCACACAACAGTAGTGTTGTTCTATCGGCCCTAACATAACCAGATGAATGACTGCCTAGTTTGAAATCAGAGAAATCTCTCAACGCTAATCAGTTTTTTATGTGCTCCTTTTTTACCCTTGAATTACTTTGACACCTATACCTCAGCAGCGCTTAAACATTAGGTTCTCTTTTAAGAAATCTCACACCCGCTGAATATTGTAGAATGTACAAGAACTGTATGGCTGAATTGTACAAGATGAAAAAAAGAGTCATCATTATCTCAAACTAGGACAAACTACTACTGCTATTTTCTAGTACTACTACTTATGGGGTATTTCCAGGTTTTAACAGTTTGACATTATTTTGCCAAAGCAAAGCGAAAGCCTTCCTCTCTGCGGCTGGGTTGATGTCTGGATGCTGCTCACTTGGCTGGTTCTGTCCGAATGGGACTTGTAGTCCTGTTTGTAGTCACTCCACCAGTCGTGAAGTGCGGTAGCTAGGTGAACCAGTGTCCATCGGCGCCATTGGAAGTTATTGAAATATTTATCTGAGGAACGACTAATTCTCTTCTTAATTATATATATATATATATATATATATATATATATATACACACACAACACATGTAAAATATTCATATTTTATATTTGAACTAGTATGTTATCAAGACTGAATGTAGTGTTTTGTCATGCTTATATTCAAAAGACAAAAAAAAAACGTATTTTTAATAATGATAGCAATTTTGAAAAACTTTGTCAAGACCAAAAACTTAAACCGCGCCCCCTTGGTGCGTGAGACGCAGACACCTGTGCCCATCACATGTGTGGGTGTGGTCTGTTGAGTGGGAGGGGCTTGCTGTGGTGCTCCATTGGACAGTCCCTGTTTGTGCTGTTGCTAGGGGAACGGACTCTGAAGCACCTGATCTTAATCTTTCATTGTCTTTTTGTCTGTGTGTTTGGTTTACTATGGACTTGATTTGCTGTGCTGTTTTTAACCATCGTTAGAATTGTTTTATTACGTATGCCTTTAATTGTTTTGTATAGCACGAGAGGGCAAGATCACTGGCTTCCTTAGTTTGACAAAAGATTAACATTATCATTTATGCCTTATCGTTATTTAGAAGACGAGCATTGTAGCATATGTTGTTTGTGTGAAATTGTGAGAGTAGTCTAGTGAGAGAGGCTACCTCCTCGCTAGTTTTTGTGTTTAGCTAGCTCACTCGGTGCATAGTCTTTTGCTGAAATGATGCAGTGTGCTTTGGGAATTGGGCGTCTGCTGTTCTGGCGCGGTTCTGTTGCTACCTATGACTTTAGGGGTGACTCAGACAGGTGGGAGTACTTGTAGGAAAAGCTTTACTAATAACTGAACTCTAGCAGAGGTGTGTGTGTGTGTGTGTGTGTGTGTGTGTGTGTGTGTGTGTGTGTGTGTGTGTGTGTGTGTGTGTGTGTGTGTGTGTGAGAGAGAGAGAGAAGGCAGAGCTGACTGCAGACCACGATGGTGCATTTGTTCTCAGCTTACAGATAAAGTAGAACGATAAGAGCACTCAAGGAAGAAGGGAATGAGAAAATGGAATAGTAACTGAAGTGTCTCAGTGATCCATTGCCTGCGATGGCGGCTGATACAGGATCTTTGTTGGAGGCTGATACAGGATCTTTGTTGGTAGGCTGATACAGGATCTTTGTTGGAGGCTGATACAGGATCTTTGTTGGAGGCTGATACAGGATCTTTGTTGGAGGCTGATACAGGATCTTTGTTGGAGGCTGATACAGGATCTTTGTTGGAGGCTGATACAGGATCTTTGTTGGTAGGCGATGGTGCACCAGTGAATCCTCTGGTTTGCTATATTTAATTAGATCCTGTTGTGATGGGTCAGTGGATGCTTCAAACATACAGGATATTTGTGCTATAGGGTGGATCCCCTTGATACAGTTTCATTGTGTTTGGTGCAGTTGTGGATCTGGATGTCTCTCTCAGGTTTGTCTGATGCTCTAGGAGTGGTTCTGTCTTGATGCATGTGGCGCAGTAGGTCTACCCTCCACTGTGGATCTGTGTGGTGGGTGTAAAGGTTTGGTAAAGGGAGAGTGCAGCGGGACACCAGTAAGTCTGGGGTAACTAGCTTGGTTAAGGAAGCTGCTGTATACCTAATTTCTAGCTCGAGACTGAGTGAAACTTTAATCTACTTTGGAAAAGAAAAATGTAAAACTTAAGAAAAAAACGAACAACACATGGTCCTATCAGAGAAGCCGGCAGGTGTCTGTTTTAAGAGTACAGAGTGTCATGACAGCTGCTGCCACCGGGGGGAGACATGACACACGCCAACACTCAAGAATGTCTGCTTTTCTTTATTTTTTACAAGAAGAGCATCATCATCATCATCATCGCTCACACTAAACACACAGTGGCCTCTCACGCCTCCACCTCCAATTACCTCCTATTATAATCCACATTTCAGTTTTTAGTAGTATGTACTTGATTTATCCCACCCCTATTCTGTGTTCTATGATTTGACAATCATGTTCTATTTTATTCTAATTTAGATTCTAAATGTAGATGTTGGTGTGTGTCTACTCACCTGGTGGTGATCTGCCTCGCTGCACTGTCTTTCCTGTGGTAATGTTAACCAAAGACTTCTAAAGTGATTGTATATGGACTACACCATCTCTTATCCCTCTCTGCCTCATCATCCCATGAGACAGACATGCAGCTGTGCTCACACACGCTCTTCCCTGAGCACCTGTAATGTCGATACGCCTGTATGGCAGAGCTGTGTGTGTGTGCTCCGCGGACACAACTGGCACCTGTAGCAGGGCCTGTGGGTGAGGATAGGTAGAGTTTGGAGGGGCAAAGTGGGGTTATCTGATGGACAGATCAATTATCCAATCCATGGTGGCTGGGTGATGTTTGTTAATACACATTGAGGGTGGATCCTGTGCACACTGTAAATGCTCAGGAGTCACTGTTTCTGTCAGTCTCCGTCTGTCTGTCTCCGGGACTGTTGCTAGGACACACCTTTTCCGTCTCAAAGACTGTCACGAAAATACACTGTTTCTGCATCTTGGATACAGTGTGTCTGTCTGGCTCCCTGTCTGTGTATTGTGTATTGTAGTTGCCAGCCTACATTGTCTCTAGGATACAAATTCTCTGGTTCTGTCTCTCTCTCTCCACTGTTTTCTTTCTTACTTTCCCTCCCTCATTTCTTTCACTGTGTCTCTCTCTCGATTCTCTCTCCCGCTGTGACACTATGCATCATGGTCCTTCACTCTTAAATGGCCTGTGTCCGATTGGCTAAGCCCTTTGGTCAATGGAGTCCCAGGGAAACTTTGTTTGATGCTTTATTCCAAGTGGGGAGTTGTAGGATCTCACAAGCGCTATTCCCAAAGCAAAAATATCCAAATATTTAACGTTTGACAAACGCAGATACCAAAGATAACTCTCTCTGTCTTGTCACTCTCTCTCTCTTCCTGTTCCTCTCACCCTGCAGCTTGTGTATTAAGAGACAAACCAAACACTGGCTTTAGCCCTAGCCTCAGTAATTCCAAAGCTTAGATGTATATTTTGGTATATTTCTGAGAAACGTAAATGGAAAAAAGTCTGTTGTTTTTAAAACTTCTCGTCTGTTTGGTGTATCGATCTTTTTCTGTCACAGCATGGAACTAATTGCAGAACTGTCTTACTCTTGGTAGATTTAAAGATATAGTATTTTTGTATGTTTTGGGGTGTGTAAAACATTCTGTGTATGATTATATCAGTTAACACGGCCCAAGTGACCATGGTTTTAAAAAACGAGCAGAAAAAATACAATAAAAACAAAAGGCAAACTTGTAAATATTACTTCTGTTTGTGGATTTTTTAGAGAAATGCGTTCTGTAAAATCATTGGTAATTCTCCCTCTGTAAACCAAGCTTGGGCTAAACTAAAGGAAGGTGTCCCCTGTATCCTCTGACTCTGTAGTTTTCTGTCTGTCACTCTAGAACTCTGGGAGCCATGCTGTCGTTGTGACGCGCGGTTCCACCGTTACACTATGGACTAGAACACTGTTCACTGTTGCCACGGGGACACATGCCTCATATCCGACTACAACCCCCCCCCCCCCCATTTTCAGGATGTGAATCAGGATACATGGTAGATTTGATGTATTTGTCTGCTGTATTTTTTAATATATATATATATATATATATATATATATATATATATATATATATATATATATATATATATATATATATATATATATATATATATATATATATATAAAGATAATCTTTTACTGTAACTGTACAGTTCTCTTTTGTTGTAAACATCATTAAACCATTTTCCAAGTGTTTTAACATTGGAATGTGCACTGTCTTTTATTACGGTCATAATGTTGACATTACCACATACAAAAAGCCATTAATGAACCTAACAAATGACATGATAATACACATTGACAAGACATGCACACTTTTCTGCTGAGTTGTAACATGCAATACCATGCCAGGGAGTTGAGCTCAGGAGTAGAAGACTGCTATACACATAGAAGTCAGAAAATAGTCTAGAAGGTACTCTTCAGAGATTGGATCAGTGCAGGGCAGACTGGGTAAGATCAGTGTGGAGGCAGTGGGCCGGGTCTGGATCTCTGAGAGGCTTCTTTTTCTTCTTTCTAGCGAGCATGTGAGGAGAGAACCAGGAAGGAAGGAAGTGTAGGTAGATTAATATCCTTAGAGTTATTCTACAGTCGTGGTGAAAAGTTTTGAGAATGACACGAGTATTGGTCTTCACAAAGTTTGCTGCTTCAGTGTTTTTAGATATTTTTGTCAGATGTTACTATGGTATACTGAAGTATAATTACAAGCATTCCATAAGTGTCAAAGGCTTTTATTGACGATTACATGAAGTTTATGCAAAGAGTCAATATTTGTAGTGTTGACCCTTCTTTTTCAAGACCTCTGCAATCCATCCTGGCATGCTGTCAATTAACTTCTGGGCCACATCCTGACCGATGGCAGCCCATTCTTGCATAATCAATGCTTGGAGTTTGTCCGAATTTGTGGGTTTTTGTTTGTCCACCCGCCTCTTGAGGATTGACCACAAGTTCTCAATGGGATTAAGGTCTGGGGAGTTTCCTGGCCATTGACCCAAAATGTTGATGTTTTGTTCACCGAGCCACTTAGTTATCACTTTTGCATTATGGCAAGGTGCTCCATCATGCTGGAAAAGGCATTGTTCGTCACCAAACTGTTCTTGGATGGTTGGGAGAAGTTGCTCTCGGAGGATGTGTTGGTACCATTCTTTATTCATGGCTGTGTTCTTAGGCAAAATTGTGAGTGAGCCCACTCCCTTGGCTGAGAAGCAATCCCACACATGAATGGTCTCAGGATGCTTTACTGTTGGCATGACACAGGACTGATGGTAGCGCTCACCTTGTCTTCTCTGGACAAGGTGTTTTCCGGATGCCCCAAACAACCGGAAAGAGGATTCATCAGAGAAAATGACTTTACCCCAGTCCTCAGCAGTCCAATCCCTGTACCTTTTGCAGAATATCAGTCTGTCCCTGATGTTTTTCCTGGAGAGAAGTGACTTCCTCGCTGCCCTTCTTGACACCAGGCCATCCTCCAAAAGTCTTCGCCTCACTGTGCGTGCAGATGCACTCACACCTGCCTGCTGCCATTCCTGAGCAAGCTCTGCACTGGTGGTGCCCCGATCCCGCAGCTGAATCAACTTTAGGAGACGGTCCTGGCGCTTGCTGGACTTTCTTGGGCGTCCTGAAGCCTTCTTCACAACAATTTAACCTCTCTCCTTGAAGTTCTTGATGATCCGATAAATGGTTGATTTAGGTGCAATCTTACTAGCAGCAATATCCATGCCTGTGAAGCCCTTTTTGTGCAAAGCAATGATGACGGCATGTGTTTCCTTGCAGGTAACCATGGTTAACAGAGGAAGAACAATGATTTCAAGCACCACCCTCCTTTTAAAGCTTCCAGTCTGTTATTCTAACTCAATCAGCATGACAGAGTGATCTCCAGCCTTGTCCTCGTCAACACTCTCACCTGTGTTAACAAGAGAATCACTGACATGATGTCAGCTGGTCCTTTTGTGGCAGGGCTGAAATGTAGTGGAAATGTGTTTTGGGGATTAAGTTCATTTTCATGGCAAAGAGGGACTTTTGCACTCTTCATAACATTCTGGAGTATATGCAAATGTATATCATAAAAACTGAGGCAGCAGACTTTGTGAAAATTAATATTTGTGTCATTCTCCAAACTTTTGACCACGACTGTACAGATGTTGGACAACATTTCACTTGAGTCGCCCTAGTTTTGTCTTCCCTTACTCATGTAGGTTTGATAGCAGTGTTATGACACCCTGATGACTATCCACACTCCACGGAGTGGAGATTTCATCTTTCCAACTCTCAAATGTACATAAATAACCTATACAGTGAGGGAAAAAAGTATTTGATAAAAATAAAATAAAAAAATAAATTGGTCATTTAGCAGACGCTCTTATCCAGAGCGACTTACAGGAGCAATTAGGGTGAAGTGCCTTGCTCAAGGGCACATCGACAGATTTTTCACCTAGTCGGCTCGGGGATTAGAACCAGCGACCTTTCAGTTACTGGCACAACGCTCTTAACCACTAAGCTACCTGATCCCCTGCTGATTTTGTACATTTGCCCACTGACAAAGAAATGATCAGTCTATAATTTTAATGGTAGGTTTATTTGAACAGTGAGAGACAGAATAACAACAAAACAATCCAGAAAAACGCATGTAAAAAATGTTATAAATTGATTTGCATTTTAATTAGGGAAATAAGTATTTGACCCCCTCTCAATCAGAAAGATTTCTGGCTCCCAGGTGTCTTTTATACAGGTAACGAGCTGAGATTAGGAGCACACTCTTAAAGGGAGTGCTCCTAATCTAAGTTTGTTACCTGTATAAAATACACCTGTCCACAGAAGCAATCAATCAATCAGATTCAAAACTCTCCACCATGGCCAAGACCAAAGAGCTCGCCAAGGATGTCAGGGACAAGATTGTAGACCTACACAAGGCTGGAATGGGCTACAAGACCATCGCCAAGCAGCTTGGTGAGAAGGTGAAAACAGTTGGTGCGATTATTCGCAAATGGAAGAACTGTCAATCTCCCTCGGCCTGGGGCTCCATGCAAGATCTCACCTCGTGGAGTTGCAATGATCATGAGAACGGTGAGGAATCAGCCCAGAACTACACGGGAGGATCTTGTCAATGATCTCAAGGCAGCTGGGACCATAGTCACCAAGAAAACAATTGGTAACACACTACGCCGTGAAGGACTGAAATCCTGCAGTGCCTGCAAGGTCCCCCTGCTCTAGAAAGCACATATACAGGCCCGTCTGAAGTTTGCCAATGAATATCTGAATGATTCAGAGGAGAACTGGGTGAAAGTGTTGTGGTCAGATGAGACCAAAATCGAGCTCTTTGGCATCAACTCAACTCGCCGTGTTTGGAGGAGGAGGAATGCTGCCTATGACCCCAAGAACACCATCCCCACCGTCAAACATGGAGGTGGAAACATCATGCTTTGGGGATGTTTTTCTGCTAAGGGGACAGGACAACTTCACCGCATCAAAGGGACGATGGCCGGCGCCATGTACTGTCAAATCTTGGGTGAGAACCTCCTTCCCTCAGCCAGGGCATTGAAAATGGGTTGTGGATGGGTATTCCAGCATGACAATGACCCAAAACACACGGCCAAGGCAACAAAGGAGTGGCTCAAGAAGAAGCACATTAAGGTCCTGGAGTGGCCTAGCCAGTCTCCAGACCTTCATCCCATAGTAAATCTGTGGAGGGAGCTGAAGGTTTGAGTTGCCAAAACGTCAGGCTCGAAACCTTAATGACTTGGAGAAGATCTGCAAAGAGGACTGGGACAAAATCCCTCCTGAGATGTGTGCAAACCTGGTGGCCAACTACAAGAAACGTCTGACCTCTGTGATTGCCAACAAGGGTTTTGCCACCAAGTACTAAGTCATGTTTTGCAGAGGGGTCAAATACTTATTTCCCTCATTAAAATGCAAATCAATTTATAATATTTTGACATGCGTTTCTCTGTGATTGTTTGTTGTTATTCTGTCTCTCACTGTTCAAATAAACCTACCATTAAAATGATAGACTGATCATGTCTTTGTCAGTGGGCAAACATACAAAATCAGCAGGGGATCAAATACTTTTTTCCCTCACTGTACATACACTCCCCTGACTTTTTCAATCTTCTATGTCACATGTTGATACATAGTTGACATGACTCTGCACAGGAGGAGTTATTTCCTGAACGTCATGTTCCATGTGAGAGACCAGACGGACTCTTACCCTTCCCTTGGACATGATCACCTGGTAAGCATCACTCCCATCATCTTCCTTCTGGAGGGCCTAGAGAACAAAATACAAGTTTAATGGTATTGGTCATTTAATATATTAAGAGCTCCTGGAAGGCTTGCAGAAGTGGAGGAACCTATCCAAAACACTGGCTGCATTCAGGGTCACAGTGTTCTGCAACGTCTCAGCACGCTAATAAGCTTGTGGTATAAAGAGAAGTCCTTACCTGGTATGTGTCGCTACTAGCTTCCTGTTTGTGCTTCTGAGAGGGGAAACCACAAACATAAACACATTAGCAAGACTATGCGGGTTCACGGATATCTGGACACGGAATTGGAACAAGGCCTCTCTCACACACCAGCCATAATTGTCCACTCACTCACTCACTCACCCGTCTAGTAGCTGCAGACTGTTGGTCAGTCCTCAGATTCTCCAAGTCGTCAGCATTAGCACCTGGCTGGAGCTCCTTAAAAAAATACATTTATTCAGAATGTTAGTACCATGTCATGTCCATGATGCCACACACACACACACACACACACACACATTGAAAGGTATGGGTCATTGTAGGGAACTCACTGCATGGGTGGAGTCCTCTTTGGGTTCAGGTGAAGACTTGCACAACTACAGACAAAGAGAGAGAGATCTTGAGAGAGAGAGAGATCATGAGAGAGAGATGAGAGAGAGAGAGCTCTTGAGAGATGATGAGAGAGATTATGAGAGAGAGATCATGAGAGAGAGAGGTAATGAGAGAGAGAGAGAGATCATGAGAGAGAGATGATGAGAGAGATCACGAGAGAGAGATAATGAGAGAGAGGAGAGAGATGAGAGATAATGAGAGAGGAGAGAGAGAGGGGAGAGAGATCAGAGAGAGATGAGAGAGAATGAGAGAGAGATCATGAGAGAGATCATGAGAGAGATGAGAGAGAGATGAGTGAGAGATGAGAGAGATATGAGAGAGATAATGACAGAGAGGAGAGAGAGAGAGGAGAGAGATAATGAGAGAGAGATGAGCGAGATCATGAGAGAGAGATCATGAGAGAGAGAGATGAGCGAGAGATCATGAGAGAGAGAGATCATGAGAGAGAGATGAGAGAGAGAGGTGATGAGAGAGAGATAATGAACGAGAAGAGAGAGATATGAGAGATCATGAGAGAGAGAGATGGGAGATCATGAGAGAAAGATAATGAGAGAGAGATCATGAGAGAGAGAGAGAGAGAGGAGAGAGAGAGAGAGAGAGAGAGATGAGCGAGAGAGATGAGAGAGAGAGATGAGAGAGATAATGAGAGAGAGATGAGAGAGATAATGACAGAGAGATGAGAGAGAGGAGAGAGAGAGGAGAGAGATAATGAGAGAGATGAGAGAGATGAGAGAGAGATATCATGAGAAAGAGATGAGAGCGAGAGATCATGAGCGAGAGATCATGAGAGATAATGAGAGAGGGGAAAGCAGAGACAGGGAGATAGTGACTCTCTTCTATATCCATGTACAGTATCTATAATACATCCTCTCACAGTATTTAATTTTACGGGAACACACCTCTGTAATTACCCGTGTACAAACTCACCCCCACTGTATACACTTGAATAACTAGTTCCTGACCAGCGGTATACAATCTGTATTGTGACCCACCTTGGCTCCGAAGAAGAGTGCGGTGGTGATGATGCAGTAGAGGAGCAGGATTCCGTCCAGTATGTAGCAGATGACCGGTTCAGTCATTGAAGCCTCTACAGGCCACACAGAAGACGAAGAGTCATTAACACACAGACAGGGCACACAGACGAGCACAGAGTCAGTCATTCAAACACAAGATGAGTGTAGAGGAAGAGGGGGGTATAATATATAATTATAAACTGGGTGGTTCGAACCCTGAATGCTGATTGGCTAACAGCCGTGGTATATCAGACCGTATACCACGGGTATGCCAAAACATGTATTTTTACTGCTCTAATTATGTTGCTAACCAGTTTATAATAGCAATAAGGCACCTCGGGGGTTTGTGGTATATGGCCAATATACCACGGCTAAGGTCTGTATCCAGGCACTCTCTGTTGCGTCGTGCTTAAGAACAGCCCTTAGCCTGTGGTATATTGGCCATATAACACCCCCTTGTGCCTTATTGCTTAAATAAACACAGTCAGTTGAACAGGTGCATGGATACTGAACTAGAAGAACAGGTGCATGGATACTGAACTAGATACTGAACACTGTCTCTCTCTCTCTCTCTCGCATTATTGCAAGTAGAAAAAACATGTTGTGAAAAAAACTCTGTCATACGGTACACGGTTTCATTTTTTGTTGTCCTAGGCTACCTGGCTAAAAAGCTTGCTCGCTAGACTAACTTCCTTTCATGGGCAACGTTAGCTAGTTAACATTTGCCTTCTACATCTAGCTACATATTGAACTTCCATTCTCTCAGGCCAGGGGCACAATGTATGAATTTATTGTTGGATCAGAATCGCCGTTATAATCATTGGCCAGTAAGGAGAATTAAGTAAAACCACAAGTCCAAATCCCTATCTCCATCCATGGCAAATTTAGGAAAGGGCCAATTTTGGCTGGCTAGCTAGCTAGCCACCGGAGGACAACTACACAACGAGATGCACAACGAGTTTCTGTTAGTGACATATGCTCTTGATGCGATGTGATTGGAGTGTAGCCAAATCCAAACAGGCTTCCCTTTACACTTTTTTTTTGGTGCGCCAGGCCAATTCACAGTTGAGCTCACTCAGTTTAGCTCAACGCTGATTGGCTATTATTTTATTTCTTTTTTTATCAAGGGAGGCCAAAAGCTCGCTGGCTTCCCTTGCCCTCGATGCTACGGGTGGCAACAATGTCATATTTGGACCAGACAGCATCAGATAGATGGCCTACACATACGGAGACAGAGGGGCACTATTTCGCTTGCTCTGAATCCTTCTCTGGTGAGATACATTCAGCCTCTTGCGAATGTTTTCTTTTTTTCTTTGTCAATTTGTTTGGGTCGCCTGGCTTCCCTTGGCATCCATGAATACACACCACTGATTCCATGTATTCCGTTCCAGCCATTACTATGATCCCGTCCTCCCAAATCAAGGTACCACCAGCCACCTGTGCTCTGGGTAGGAAACGAGGTGAAGGTGGTGATGGTGGGAGAGTACAAATCTAGGTCGTTTGGACAGGAAATAATACACGGTAGTATAGAAAACGTACTACCTGGCCACACTAGAAAGCACAGAAGTCAAAACTTTCTAACCAAACAGACACTTTAACGAACTTTAACGAACCATTGCCCTAACCTTAACCCTGACACTAAATTCTAATGAAACACCTCCGTTTTGATGGTATCGCCATTTCTGTCTGTTCCACCACGGCTAGTAAGTGACTCCCACAGTACGGCTGGGTTGGCACTTACCTACAGAAGACACAAGCTTCAGCAGCACCACAACACCTGTCCTCCATGGAACAGTCATTCTCCCCTTCTCCCTCTCTTTCGCTCTGTGGAAACCTGATACCTCTCCTTCTGTCCTGGGGTGAATGATGGTGGTGGCTCTGGAGGGCTCTCTTGGTTTATCTCTTTCTAGCTCTTCCTCCCTCTCTCTCTTTCACACTCTCTCTCTCTCTCGCTGATGACAGGAAGTGGCCGCACTGACACTAATGTTTATGCCCCCTCTCTCTCTTTCTGTCATTCTCTCTATCTCTCTAAGCATCGTCTTCCTTCCTAAGCATATCTACTTGTCTTTTTCTTTCTCAGTTTCCCCCCTCTATTTATCTCAGTGTCACTTCCTCGCTCTAACCATCATTCTCTGACAGAGTCTAATAAAATACTAAAATGTAAATGTATCTATCCCCTTTTCTGTTAGGATGTGTTTATCCACAGTGTAGGTTCAGTAGGCTGTCTCTCCATTTGTTACAGTTTTCATGCTTGAACAACAGACTGTCTATGAATCTAAAATCAGATAATAGAAATGACATTAGTTCAAAGGCCATGGTCTCTGTTCTTTTATGGTGTCATGAGTAATTGGAAAATATACATCTTCTAAAGAAACGGTATGCTTCCTCCAGCAATAGTAAAGAAGAGGGTAAGTGTTACTGTGATTATTGACACAACCTGATGGTTAGACCTGCAGGAGCCTAGATTTGGCTCCTGTTGTTACAGCCCAAAGGGTCACGTCAGAAAGACGCGTAATCTCCCCCACCACTGCCAAGTGCCAGCTCCAGTACAACAACCTCTCCCTCAACGTGACCAAGACAAAGGAGATGATTGTGGACTACAGGGGAAAAAAGAGGACTGAGCACGCCCCCATTCTCATCCACGGGGCTGTAGTGGAACAGGTTGAGAGCTTCAAGTTCCTTGGTGTCCACATCACCAATGAACTATCATGGTCCAAACACACCAAGACAGTCGTGAAGAGGGCACGACAAAGCCTATTCCCCCTCAGGAGACTGAAAAGATTTGGCATGGGTCCTCAGATCCTCAAAAAGTTATACAGCTGCACCATCGAGACTATTTGCACTGCCCCCCCACCCCCACCCCACCCCCCTCTTTTACGCTGCTGCTACTCTGTTTATTATTTATGCATAGTCACTTTAACTCTACCCACATGTACATATTACCTCAATTACCTCGATTAACTGGTGCCCCCGCACATTGACTCTGTACCGGTACCCCCTGTACATATAGCCTCCCTACTGTTATTTTATTTTACTTCTGCTATTTTTTTCTCAACACTTTTTTGTTGTTGTTTTATTTTACTTTTTTATTAAAAATAAATGCACTGTTGGTTAAGGGCTGTAAGTAAGCATTTCACTGTAATGTCTGCACCTGTTGTATTCGGCGCATGTGGCCAATAAAATTGGATTTGATTTGATTTGAGTATTGTGGACAGTGAGCAAGGATATAAAATTATCATCACGTTTCAAAGCTATGGTACAGAATAACTTGAACTCTCTAAGGTGTACCATTGATATCAACAGGTGACATTATCTTAGTAGTTATATGCCTCTTTACTCATTCGGAGCTCATCTTTCTACAATGAGTTTCCAAGTCGGACATTTCTGAGTTTCCAAGTTGCCTATATGTTACGGTGGTTGTGGTGCAATGATGACCCTGTGAAATTTCTCATTACCACAAGACAACGCCATCTTGACGTTGGACTCTGGCAAGCCAAGCTATCTTAACCTGTGTGTGACCGGAGTATTTCAGTCTTTTCTCATCCCTGTTTTTAAATACTATAGACTTAAAGGAGACCAGAATGGAGGTTTGTGGTTGCAGATGGACTCGTCAATAGGCCTAATTAAGGTGAAGGAGGGGGTAAATAACAAGGGGACGAGAAAGCCTTTTGACATCCCTGTGTGAAATGCCTGTCTGCCATCATCTGACTATGGAAGGTGGATTGCTACTGGTCTGAATGATGAGGGAAAATGGTCTTCAAAAGCGAAGTGAAGAGAGAGTGAGGAAGTAGGCCTGGGGCCACAGTTTTGCGTACACCTGCTTTAAAAACGAATAAGATGTTATTTATTCTTTACTTTTTGTATTTCAAGAAAACTGTATCATTGTTATTACAACGAGGCTACTTCCTCGACCAAAAATACAAATACAGAATGTGCCACTTGTAATCTTCAGTGCAACATTGTTTTCAACTTTACTGTAACTCCACAGCTGTTATCTTTAAAAACAAGTATATATATATATATATATATATATATATATATATATATATATATATATATATATATACATATATACAAACAGACAAACAAGAACAACATATATGCTATATGCTAGGGGGTACAACAAATTAGAGATTATACAAAGGCCTTAAAGGGATACTTCAGGATTTTGGCAATGAAGCCCTTTATCTACTTCCCCATAGTTAGATGAATTCGTGGATGCCATTTTTAGGTCTCTTCGTGCAGTTTGAAGGAAGTTGCTAACTAGCGTTTGTTTTTGTATTTATTATGGATCCCCATTAGCTGCTGCCAAGGCAGTGGCTACTCTTCCTGGGGTCCAGCAAAATTAAGGCAGTTATATACAAGGAAGTCTATGGTAACTGCTAGCATGCTAGTAGATACCATAGACTTCGAGTCATTGTGCTAACGCTAGTAAGCATTGGTTTCGCATTGGTTACCTCTAACTTCCTTCATACTCGATGCAGAGACATAAAAATGGTATCCATGAGTTCATCTGACTCTGGGGAAGTAGATAAAGGGCTTCATTGACAAATATCCCGAAGTTTCCCTTTAAGACACACATGTATTGAATGTTTTTACAGCTTTTTTATTTGAAGAATGTAGAATGATCTTAATGTACTGCTCGAACTCCTAATAAAAAAACAAGGAAGAGTGTTTTTTTATTAGTGAATTTACATGTATGAATATGAAATTCTATCATTAGCACAATTACATTTTGGAGGTAAAATTGTTTTTCTTTATCCTTAAACCGAACAGTACATTCTCCCATAATAAACAAAAGTCATCAAGAATATTAATCAATAATAAACTATCTTGCCATAATCTCTTTACATGTAGAACATGTTAAAATAAATACAAAACTGTTTCTGGATGCCCATCACAGAAAGTCCAGTTAATGTTAACGTGCTGATATCTGTAACCCCACAGCTGTTCAACGTCAACGAATCCCCACTCACGTGATTATTCTGGGCGGTTCTTAAACTCTCGATCACATGACCGTTGTCACGTCTTCCTGGTGCAGAGAGCAGAAATCATCCGTGGGATTTGACGATCCAGACACTCAAAGAAGACCAATTTAATCAGCACCAACTGATTCAAAAAGAGCAAACAACACTACAGGAAAAGGACACATTTCCGAAGATTTGTTTCGAGAGGATTCTGTCTCGCGGCAGCAGAGAGAGCGTTGTTGCTTGTGAAGCCAGCTCGCTGACAGTCCTTCGTTCCTATCGCTGGGTCGTGTGCATGTTGTTGTGATTCGCCCCTTGCCTTGGCAAACAACCGAACAGAAATATGACACAACAACATAGCCGCAAACAACCTTTGTCCGTGGCATTCATCGCGCTTTTAGGTGAGTATGTTGATGCTGGATGGACGCAATAAATACAACGCCATAAATCTAGAAAGAGTAGCTCATACACCAGAATTCGGTCCTCAACCTATTTTTTTTTATCTCGCATGATGGTTATGTAACGACCCTGGGTTTATATGCGCGGATATCGACTCTGCCACGGGAACATGCTTTTGGGGCATAGTCGATGGTGCGCTGGACTTCGGGCTAGAAGGTTGAGGGTTCGAGACTTGCTCCCTGCCAGTTTCATTACAGGTATATAAACATGGTTGTACGTTTTCCAGATGACTTGCATTTCTGCCTTAGATTATATATTACAGGTCGATGCGGGACTAGACCGAGTTGTTTTTCTTGCTTAGTGGCACTCTTGCGTGGCAGACTGAAGCTAGATCGGCAGGTCAAGAGGTGCAGGTTGGCTGTTGTGCAATGGGCCCCTCACGTGATCTCAAAAGCGCTGTGCCTAGTGATAAAAAAACAACAGGCTATTATGTTTCTGTCTATCATTTATTGATGTCATTGCACTCATAGTTGTTTAGTTTACATTCTCTGCTTGTTTCTTGGCGAGTAACCTATTTCGTTTTGTGCTTTGGGCTAGAAGCTGGTGGTCATGTATTGAGTATGCCAAGGCTAGCCCAAAGGCCAGCAGATGGCGATATTGAGTCGTTTCATTTTACCCTCCAAAGGGAATCCACGCAGCCGGCCATGCACTCGTATACCCCATGGACCGGTTCATACATTCAGGCTGCAAAGGTGTTGATTTCTTTGTCGAGAAGGTGAAAAAAATTAAAATATGCCTGGTTTCTTTATGGAACACCCTTTTTCACCACCATGTTAGATTGGCCAAAGGCTATACCCGGATGTTGCATATTGCGTTCAGCCAATCAGGTAGCAACCCTATACCAATTTATTTATATTTATACATATTTTTTTCTCCCCCATTATGATCTTGTCTCATCGCTGCAACACCCCAAAATGCTCGGGAGAGGCGAAGGTCGAGTCATGCGTCCTCCGAAACATGACCGGCCAAACCACGTTTTTTTTTTTTTCTTCTTTTTTTTTATTGGGGGGGATGGATCAGCTTAATATTGCAGATAGATTGTATCTTCTATCAATGTAATTGTCTGCATCACTTCCAATCCCCCATTTTTTTATATATATACTCCCCTTTATTACTTTTCAACCCCGCCATCCTTTCCCTACTTGGAGTAAATTAGTGAACAACAATGCCCAGGCCTCTACTTCCGATCTATACTTACTATCTACACTTTATGGACAGTTAATTTTACAATAATTATATTATATATATATATATAAAACAATTTTTTTTTGCTCCTGAACTACTTCTACTCTCAACCTCTCCGATCATTTTCATGATGTCCATCCGGTTTGCTTCTATATGCCATATCTTTCTAACTGTGCTCTTTCCCAAAAGCTCCCAACATACAACCTATATACTTATTATGGACACAGTATGCTTACATTATTAGCTATCTTTGTTATTATTTGTTGTTATTTGTTATTAGTCCCATCCTTCAACTCTATTCAATACCTCCCATCTATCTCTTAA